GTAAAATTTTTATTCAGAAATGTTACGGGCATAGAAACCGTGAAATATATCGATATTTCATGGCCGTAAACATTTATTACCACGGTTTCGCCGTGCTAATCCATGATATTCACAACAGCCCATGAAATATCTATTACAAAGTCGTGTACTTTGGCTAGTTCGGAATAATCAAAAATTGTGTTCTTTGATTGGCAATTTCCCTTTTAAGGCTTGTATTACTCGCGAAAACAAAATTCTGAACCGCAACTATTGCTCTCTAGTAGGTTGATGAATAATGAAAAGGGAAAATCTATGAATTAATTAACCAACCTTCACATTATTGAACTCGGCCCCTATAAAATTGATCTTGCGATAATTACATGTGATCACATACGTATATAACTGATCGGTTTAGTCGTTTTGATAACGCATTACTCGATCATCAAACAAAAATGATAAAGAATTAATTAGGTAGTTTCTTCAGAGGCCCAGTTCAACAAAAATGAAAATAGTGAAATCAATTTACAGGTTTTCTCTTTTCACCATTCATATTATTTAAATTTACCCAAAATACGCATACAAATATTTGGACAAACCCAAAAATTTTACTTAGCATTTTCTAATAACATTGAATTTAACTATTAAGGTTGTAAATATTTTTTTAATTTTTTGTGTTGGCAAGGTACAGTTATAAGTCGCGTAACGTTCATGGGTCTTCACGCGTGCAATAATACGTGGCTATTAATACCAAATAGTAAAATCTCTTTGGTCGATATTTTTTGATGATTATTTACGTCGTATCCTGGATTACTAATAGTCTTGGGTTATACAATAATCGATGATTTACAAGTAGTACAGAACATGCCAACCACCAAAAATAATGTCGAACAGCCCCTTTTAAACGCGTAACAAATAACATGTGATCTAAAAAGAATGCTTTGACATAACAATTTTTAATGTATATAATTTTCCCTAATTATTAAAGTCTCTTTAAACTTCGTTTTTTGTCTACTTGCTTCTTATCCAATTTTTTATCACCAGCACGCTTCTTTGGTGTAACAGAAGGGCTTGAATTTTCAGAAGGTGCAGATACCGAATTCTTTTTTAAGCCACTGAAAGATTCTGATTCATTCTTGGACTTTGACACCGCGAGCGGTGTAACCAATGAAGTATATGCTGAAGCAGGAGTAATTGTTGTGTTTATGCTAGCAGGACTCTTTACTTGGGAAGTAATGATTTTTTGTGATGTTGAGGATGTTGACACAGAGGGAGTGGAAGATGTTGATGTTGGGGTAGTAGAATACTATTCATAAAATTAATGGTAAATTTTTTAAATTTTAAATAAACCCGGCCTTTGTTTAAAAAAATTTCATACAGTCTACCCTCGTTATAACGTAGTGATCGGGCTGAGACATTCTGT